GGAGCACTATTCAGGCCAAACTGAAGGGACCAGAAGTGGGCTGTTCCCCTGAATACAGTATAAAACATTGGTGGTGTGCCATCTGAAGGCACTGATTTGAAAGCGGTATGGGTAGACAGCTGACAAAGTTTCTGTTGTTTCTTTTTATTCTGCTTCTGAGGGACCCTCTGTGCCAGTGCTGAGGATCCATAACCGGGTTCTGGAATGTCTCCATCCTTCCAATAAATGCTCATAGCCTCTCCTACCTACTGGGTTAATCAATGATGTGGCAGTCACTCTGAAGTTAAGTTTGGAAGATCCTGATGCTGTACCAAGTCCCAATGCCAGTGAAATGTTTTATTTCCTTAGCTCCATTTTATTCTAAAATCCTTGGAGCAATTATGTTTGCTCACTTTTGTATCTCCAACAACTGGCCCAGTGAATTGCACATAGGAGGAGCCCAACTGATATTTTTAAAAGAAATAAGCAAATTCAGGAATGAGAATAATTTGTATGAATGACTGAATGCATGGCTCTGCGATCTGTGTCTTCTGCTGAACTTACTTAGCCAAGATTTTGAGATCTTTGGTAATTTCCAAGTTTACAGAGACTGTAACTAGTGTCGGGGAAAGTATTTAAAAATTCCTGATTGTTCTTGCCTCTCTTCCCAGACCATTGCCACTAACTAAGATAAATGAAAGTAACTGATGAGGAAAAGCCATCAGGTGTTTTATACTCACTTGTTTATTCAACAATTAAAAAGTATTTCTTGAGGGACTGTTATATGCAAAGGTGCTATGAGTGATAGAAGTATGAACGTTTTGGAATCAAGGCTGGGTTTCATCAGCTTAATTAGAATAAGCAGCAGCACAAGGGGCATAAAAATACCACTCATGGAAATTTTACCCAGTGTGCAAGAAAGCAACGCGAGTTTCTAGATGGGGAATTTGTAAAGGTCTTAGTAGGAAGACAGTTATAGTTTAGTAGCTCAGAGAAAGATAATATCTGGGGAAAGGCATAAGCCATAGAGCAACAGTAAGAATGAGCTTGCCACATGCAGGGTCAATTGCCTGGAGTGAAGTGTGCTAAATGGCAACTGTAGAATAAGAGCTCAGAAAGGCAAGAGTGGGTTTGATCACAGAGGGTTTCAATGTCAGGTCAAGGTGCTAAGGTTGTAGTTTTATACAGGGATAGTACTGAAGTCTCCTAGCAAGCAAGTTCTCTATTACAAGTGGTTGTGAGATGACTAGATACGCCGTGCAATGAAGGATAGATAAGGCATTCAGCGTGAGAGAAAGAATTAGAAAAATTCAGTTGCACTAAATCTGTAGGAGATAAACAAATGCCTGAGTAAAATTATAGAGATAGTGATGAAAAGCAATATTATCAGATTAGGAAGCATCAAAGAAACAAATGAACAGTAAAGATTGTCAATCCTTAGCAACTAGTTACATAAAAGGGATTAAGTGTCCAGTAGAAACCGTCTAAAAGCAAAATAGCAAATTCTCTAAAGGATGATGGATAATGAAGAAAAATCATATTTGTTCAACATTTACTAAGTACTTAGCATTGTGCCTAGTATGTGTCATACTATTGTACTGACTCTTCACTCTGGCCCAGTGATTATTGTATCCTACTCTCACTCTACAGATGATGAAAGTAAAAACCAGTCTAAGTAACTTGTAAGACACAGATTTGGGATTTGAACACAGGAAGTCTCTGTTCTTTAACATAAACTATTCTGCATAAAGGAATCATCTTTATTTTCATCATCTGTTTATATAGAAGCCTTTTCACCAAAGATATGAATATTTTTAGCCTCACCTGTGTTCCATCTGTCAGAACCCACAGTTGGAGTTGCCCCAAAAGTGGCCGCAGGAGAGTTACCACAAGGGACTTTCTCAATCCATCCCAAGATGGGGTCCTTTGGGGTTCCAAAGAAAGAAGCACTAAATGTCAAGATGATCAGTCCAAAGCATTTTTAGGAAAACTAACATACAGAGCCCATGGTAGTCCTTGAAACACATAGTGAAAAAAAAGTTACTCTACATGGGTATGTCCACAACAAGGGTACAATAGGGTGATGGGATTTAATATTTGAGAGTTCAAGAAATTTGGCTCAAGATTGGGTCTAGTTTTTTTGTGTTTAGCAACATGTTTCATCTTTCAGTGTTTCTGGCAACAATCTAAATAAATTTATCTGTGCCTGGGAATGTTCAAGGCCGCAGGTTGGGTTCAAGGCCAATACATGCAGTTGGCCAGGTCATAAGCTAGTCAAGGAACTCTGTGTTTCTAGGGCCAGATGAGACAGGAGACAGAGAAAGCCTAGGCAGATGGACAGGCGGGTCCTCTGGTAACAATGTAGTTAACTCCCAGCAGGCCTCTCAGGTTCAGCGTTGTTAAACACGTTCCTTGTAAGCCTCTCAAGCTAGAGCTTAAATACTCACTGCTGGGATCAAAAAGTAACCAATCAGCTCACCATTAGGTCCCTACCTTAATACTGACCAATCAGAACAGCTACAGCCCACAGCTAGTGCTAGCCAATCGGCTTGGACTTAGGTCTATATAAGCACCATGTTTTCAGCCCCAAACAGGCAACCCCTTCTGGTCCCCTACCACCTTGGGAGCTTCTCTGCCCTCTCAATAAATCCTGCTTTCACACTTTCCAATTGTCCGTGTCCCTCATTCTTCCTGGTCATGAGAGAAGAACGTCATCCCTGAAGAGCTGTAGAAGATCGTGGGAGCCAGCTGAACCAGCAGAGCTGCCAGAAGAAGTCGAAACTCCAAAGCTGAGACACCTCAGGGGCTAGGTTTGCCAGCCAACCAAACCAGCAAGCTCCCAGGGCTTGGCCTGTCAGCCCATTAGACCCAACACTCCAGGGGCTAGGCTTGTCAGCCAACTGAATCGCAACACTCTCAGGGCTTGGCTTGCCAGCCCATTAGAGTTGACTCTTTGGGGACTAGGCCTATCAGCTCCTCGATGACCCTCTCTGGGACTTGGCTGGCTGATCCATTGAGCTGACACTATCGATACCCAGGCTGACCTGAAAAATCCACATCAAAGACAAAGTAAGAAAGCGGGGGCAGCTGAGAGACTTTAACAACTGTGAGATGAGCAGATAAAAAGAAGCCCATATCTGTTAGTTTAACCATGAGCCTATTTTCTTAGACTGATCCACTTTGGTCCTATTGACAATCTGAACAGTCAGCTTACAAGAGGTATAGTTGACAAAGTGCCTTCTAGTCCTAAGTTATTTGTCCCAACTTCCAAGTATTCAAAAGAATGAAAAGACTATCATATACAGACTTGTTCTTTGGTGTATGTGAAAAGAAGAGATATCCACAACACTTAGTGCTTTGCTAAATTTCCCTTTGATTTATCCCTAACCTGAAGTAAGGGGCTCAGAAAATATGAGACACCTCAATACTGTAACTGAACAGTCACCACAAATCTTAGATTTTATCTAAAACTTTGGACACATTTTGCATTCTACTATTTTATATGCCCTGTTTATTTTACTATACTATATTTTATCATAAAGGCAATTTTATATTTTCTACCATATAATTATTGTCAAGTAGGGAGCACTATGTTTGTCTTGTACCTTCACATCCTGCTGAGATCTACTGGGATGACTGTGTCTGATCTGAGAAACAGTCAAACAGTCCAGATGTGTGACCGTTGCAGGGCAGTAAGATGGCACCATGGCCAACAGAACAGGCCCTAGCATGGCCCCACCTGGTCTGCATTCTGGCATCATTCTGAGTAACACCAGCTTTCTCAGGCACGTTGTTAAGCCTCTAATTACTTTTCATTGTAAAATCTCATTTTAAAAACAGAGATGATATTTCAGAGTTCAATTTACAAAATATTGGTGTATCTTATAATCAATGCCCCTCAGATTCAGTGAAATATGATAAAACCCTCCACACAGGACTGTTGAATATTGAGTGGATTAATGCATATACTTTAAATAAACAATATGTAGCACAAAATAAGCACAATATAAAATTACAAATACAGCAATGAAATACAATGCAAAATTAATTACAAAAAAAGAATTAGCTGGGCTCGGTGACTCAGCCTGTAATTCTGCGCCTCTGGGAGGCTGAGGTGAGTGGATTGCCTGAGCCCGCAGGTTCGAGACCCGCCTGGGCAGTGAGACCTCATCTCTACAATAAATAAAAATATCAGCCAGGCGTGGTAGCGCGTGCCTGTAATTCCGGCTACTTGGAAGGCTGAGGTGGAAGGATTGCCGGAGCCCAGCAGGTCGAGGCTGTGGTGGCCGGGAGCAGCCACTGCACTCCAGTCTGGGCGACAGAGTGAGACTCCAAATCAAAAAAAAAGAATTAAATTTAGAACAAAAATTTATTAAAAATAATTTAAATAAAATTATACACAAAACCCACTGGTAAAAGTTCCTTGATAGAGTGAACAGGAAGAAAGACATGCTTGGACTAGGTGAGCACGAACACGCCAGGGAGTGGTAGAGAGTCGTCAACTCATATTAATTCCATTAACAAATATTTATTGAATACCCATGAGTTGGATACTCTTCTAGGTATTAGGGATGCAACAGTCGTAAAAATCTTCTCCCTTGAAAGATTTTAGAGACTAGCAGAGGAGATAGAAGTTAATTAAATAATGCATCCAAGAATGCAAATTTTTAATCGTTAGCAATTTCTACAAAGGAAAGTCACAGTGGTGCAATGAACCTAAGATGAGGGGATTTGGCTGAGTTAGAGAACTCTGGAAAGGCTAAGCTGAAGTCAGAAGAATGAGGAGTTCACTGGTGAGGTGGGTGGCAGAGCATTGCAAGCAGAGTGAACAGCCTGTGCCAAGCTTCTGTGGGAGGAGGGACCCTCGACACACATTGTTCTGAAAATAGACTGGTGGAGAGTGGAAAAGTCAGTCTGGGAAGAGGAAGTCAGAGAAGCAGTTGGGGGGCAGCTGGCCATGACGGGGAAAACAAAGGAGAAACAAATCCTGCCCTTGTAATTTTGCAAAGAACAAGCAAGGCATGAGACAGGCAGGTCTTGCTGTGTCTCCTCAAGGAGGCTCAGCAACTGTTCAGAACCCTCCTTCTACCCTGGACCCTCCTTCCTTGTGCAAGTCTCTCACATTCTTATTGTGGGAAGAAAAGAATAACCTTGAGTTGCGTTTTTATAAATGGAAAAGGTATGTAGGCTTCTATTTCTGGCATTCATTTTGCGAAATATGACAGAAATATTTTAACCCAAATAGAAGCCACAATTCCTCAGTTCCAATATGTCTATATGAGATGGGTCCTCACAGCCTCTGCTTTGAGGCTTTTTCTTCTCAGTATCCTGACATCTCTATACCAGCTCCTCTATTTATCTGGCATGAGCCCTCTTATTTTCACAGACATGCTAGAGGTCCCCTTGTGGAAAAGAACACCTTACTGGAGGAAGTTGAAGTAGCAGAGTTGTTCATTCTAAGAAAGAACTTATAGGAGGAGGTCTAAAAGGGAAGGACTATTTTGTCCTTTATTGTAAGGTGTCTTAGGGAAAAATAGAAAGGGGGAAGAATAAGAAGGAAGAGAAGATACAGAAAATTCATAATTATATACGCATACACACAAACATACATGCATACCTATATACATATATACTCTTGATTATAAAAGTAAAGATATCAAATAGCTTATAGATACTGATTGGAGTGTGGATCTGGGACTGACCTTTAGTGGAGTAGGCAGGAAAAAGGTCAGATACAACAAGTGATTTCCCCACTGGGACACTCAGGGGAGGACTTCACAGTGGTTAAATTGAGGACTCTGAGTGTGACAACACAAGTTTGAATTACTTAGTATCTCTTTGTCCATGTTCCATAATCTATAATGGGAATATCTGTAATATAATTCATCGAATTACTGTGTTTAAAAGCACTTAAAACAATGCCTCACATATAGAAAATACTATATAATAGTAATAAATTTTCCCATTATTAAGGCTTAACCAGAGGCACCAGGGACTTGAAAAAGTTTTCTTTGGTTTAATAGCTGTAGGTTGTTTGGTTTTGATAACACAGATTTCTTTTTGAATTATTTGCATCAATGAAGAAAAAATGTTCAATTAATATATCTTGATTAAGGAACGATATCACATATTTTAACTACAAACCACTATGTTAAATGCTTTTATGAATATGACCTCATTGAATCTTCACTCTTTAAAGTAGATATTATCAGCATACCCATTTTATAGTTGAGAAACCTGAGAATCCATGTTTAAATAGATTTCAGCAGAAGAGTCTAGTTTTAAATATAAATCTGAAACATAGTCAGCACTTTTAAAAAGTATTTTATAGAATTAATGGTTAAGAGTTTGTTTCTGAACCAGGATAACTGTATTTACATCCTACATTCTCAAATTACTAGTTGAGTAAAGACAGGGAATTTCATGTCTCCGAGTCCCATTTTTCTCATCTGTAAAGTGGAGATAATAACTGGTTTATGAGTTTGTTATAAGGATGAATTGCAAATATACAAAGAAATTAATATAATTGTTAATACATACTACACAGTACATATAAAAGCATATATGGTGCGTGTGTGCCATAAACCTATTTGTTTCTTCTTGATTTTAAGATCTCCCTTCTTGCTTGGATAGAACAGTTCTGTAGCCCTCAGTAGGGCTTCAAAGATTATTGTGATTAACATTCCTTTGCACTAATCTTATAGTATGTCATCAAAATATCTCTAAAATAGATTTCAAGTAATGAGTAAAATTTGAAGAAGACATAGTAATGTCATTTTGATATTGAATAGCTGATATTTTACTCCTCTGTTTCTTTCACGACTGTATTTTTTGTATTTACATAAAAGAAATAAAATAGCAGGTAGCATCGTTATCATCATCATCATTATCACCACCACCACCATCCCTATACCAAGCATTACTGAATACTTACTACATGCCAGGAAATGTGTTCTATGTTTTATATACTTTATCATATTACTCACAAAAATTCCATAAGGTAACTCATTTATCCACACTAGATGGTCAGAAAATTAGGGCAAAGGGAAACAAATTTACTCCATATTACTATGACTGGTAATGTCTTAAGCACTAATATCCCAGTGTGTGTGTGTGTGTGTGTGTGTGTGTGTGTGTGTGTGTGTGTGTGTGTGTAAGTTTCCAAGTGCTAATGTAAGCCTACATAAACTATAAGAATTTTTGTAATAGGTTTGATTCTTAAGAGCAAAAATTGTGCTTTCTATATTTTGTGAACTTCAAAAGTAGTTAGTGTTGGATATTATATTACTACAGGAGACCATGACATATTTGAACTACCTATTATCCAATTCTCTTTTGCTTGAGTTGTCCATAACTTGCTGGGATTGTTAGATGGTCCCAATTCTCCTACTACTTCAGAACACTTCCAGTAAGGGCAGACATCTTAAGTGTTCACTGAATGTTAATTAAATGAGTAAATGGATTAAATTAAGTTCCAGCTGCATGGGTGTAGCTGCAGGGTTTGTATATAAATGACACTTTTAAATGATTGGTTTTATTGCAAATAAAATGGACAATTCTAGAGACATTCTTTTTTTCTAGAACATCAAGAAATAAGAAGAAAACACAGATTCATGGTTTACCATTATCTCCTTTAATATCAGACCCCATAATTCTTTTTGGATGTGCTGGGAGATCTGGTAAGAAAGGTGGGAAGCAGAAGGGCCATGGAAGCACCTTTATTTGCTAGAACACAAGCTGTGGATTGCATTCTAATGAAAAAAGAATTCCAGATGGTTTCACTAAAAAAAAAAAAAAAAAAAAAAAAAAGAATGCTGGGGCCTGGGTGAAGGTTCATGTCCGCAATGTACTTTGATTGATCTCATTTTCCTATTGTCAAATTCATTCTTTTCCAGGAAGAATGGGCCCATTAGAGATTTAGCAAAAAAGCACTGACTATGAAGAAAATATTAGTCTCTTTGTTCAAATTCAGATATATAGTTATATAAATAATTTTTTTCTATAGAATCAAAATGGTAAGTACCCATATTCTTGACTACGGATACAAAGTGGTATCTCTCCTCATTAAGTTTGAAAAGATCATATGAAAGAATGTATGTAGAATTGTTTTGAAAATAGTAGTCTTTCATGTATAAAAACCTTATGAAAGAATCTTGAAAATTCAGACACAAGAGAGACACAATCTAGACTTCCTTTTTAGTTACAGACACTTGTTTTCAAATGATATCTTGCATAACCTCAATTAAATGATAAATAAAGTGTATAGCTGCTTAAGTTCCAGCCGGGGAGCTTTTACCTGCGGTCAGAGGCAAACAGATGGACAGAAGACAAGAAACCTCTAATATATGCCAGCAGTTTACAATGTGACAGTTATCTGACTTAATTTATATTTTACTTTGACTGAAGATTCAAAACAATTTAAACTGGAATTCCTCCTTTCGGAGGGTCAAATAATCTTTGGCCCTTGCCATTTTCTGTGGTCAGCCAAGGGTTGATGCTCATATTTATAAAGATATTTGAATTTTGGCCCTTGATACAGACCTTTTACAACTCCAAATGCTTTTTAACTGGAATTATTTTTAGAGTAGCTGTTTTCTGTTTCTCCTTCCAGAAAGGATTCGAAGGAAGAATGAAGTTGAAATTGTAGGACTATCCAGATCTATCTGAAAATAAATAGTGGAGAAGCAGAGGAAAGTCAAGGGAGTATGACCTGAAGGTCTTGCTCACTTAAGTTGTTCAAGAGACCGTCTTTAGCAGCTTGGTGCAGAAGAAACCAAAGCCAGTCATAGGATACAATGTAATCTAGTCTGGTTTTAGAAAATAGTCTACGCGTAAGCAATAGCAAAACTTACCTCTCAATTTTATTTTTACTCTTCTGATTTCCTTCCCAGTTATCATCTGAGAAATTCAGGACAGTGAATGCTGGAACAACACAGAAATTCTTGTCCTGGCTTTTGTCATTGTTGTCAACCCAAGGCATTGTTGGGAAAAAGGTAGCTAGGTAATATTTGTTGCATCTGACATTTGCCACTCAGCATTGTGGGCCATTCGCACGGATGATCTCTTTTGATCTTCCTAGTAAGATTATCTCTGATTTATTGAGATCCCTAGACTAAGTTGACTAAGATCTTTGGCTCTAAATGTCATGATTTTCTTGCCACCTATCTCCTTTTGTGTGTTCCCCTTCGTCCCTGGTACAGACAGCCCCAAACCCAGTTGTATTTCTTCTCTTGCCATCTCTTAATATTATTTATTCATATCATCTATTTTTTCTTTCTATCTGTATGGGCACCATTAATGATAACTATTCACTATCTAAACCACTTTCCATATTTGGAGTTTCTGTACTTTCAGAGTCTGATTTGACATAGAAAAAACTGCTTCCCTGTCCAGGGAGAGATGCCAAACAATTGCTTGTCTAACTCTCCTGCAAATAGGCTTAGGACATATCTTAGACGCCACTCTCAGTTGTGTGCAAGATGCTCTTTGTTTTGGGAACTAAATGCAGCAAGAACAAGGGACTAATTGGTTTCTCTCTAGTGAAGGTTGTGAGAGCAGACTAATTGTTACATGAAACTAAGTTTGAGATGTGGTTTTGTCTGCTTTACATCAAACCTGGTTTTCCAGCCTTCCCATTGATTTGAGCGTCCAATATATTAATTAATTAATTTAATTTTTATTTTTAAGTTGTGGGGTACAAGTGAAGGTTTGCAAGATAAGTTAGTTACATGCAAGTGAAGTTTGGGCTTTTTCATTTTTTTTTTGAGTTGGAGTCTCACTCTGTCGCCCAGACTAGAGGGCAGTGGCCGCTCCCAGCCACCGCAGCCTCGACCTGCTGGGCTCCGGCAATCCTTCTGCCTCAGCCTTCCAAGTAGCCGGAATTACAGGCATGCACTACCACGCCTGGCTGATTTTTTTATTTTATTGTAGAGATGAGGTCTCACTGCCCAGGCGGGTCTCAAACCCGAGAGCTCAGGCAATCCACTCACCTCAGCCTCCCAAAGGCGCGGGATTACAGGTTGAGCCACCGACCCCGGCTGAAGTTTGGGCTTTTAACTGGCCCTCTCTCTCCCTGGTAGTGGACCAGGTACCCATTATGTTGCATATGCCTCTCTTCCTCCTCCATCCTCCCCCACCCCGCCATGCCCCTTGATTAGCAATCTGACCCTTGTGCTAATG